GGCTTAAATATAGACTAAGGACTTTAATTAGAGGTTCAAATAGCGCGTCAGATTATGGGGTTAAAATAATGGGACAAATATAGACGAAAGGGTTAGATTAAGGGTAAGGATAAGGGTTAGACTAAGCGAGAGAATAAGGCATTAGATTAATCGGATAGAATACGGGGTTATAACAAAGGGATTGAATAAGCGATAGAGTAAGGGATTCGAAAAAGGGATAACATTAAAAGGTTAGAATAAGGGATTAGAGTAAGGGATTAGATTAAGCGATTAGAATAAGGGGTTAGATTAAGGGGTTAGATTAAGGGGTTAGAATAAGGAATAGAATAAGGGGTTAGGTTAAGGAGTTAGATTAAAGGGTTAGAGTAAGGGGATATATATTGGATAGAATAAGGAATTAGATTAACGGGTTATAATAAGGAATAGAATAGGGGGTTAGAATAAGGCATTAGATTAAGGGGTTAGCATAAGGAATAGAATAAGAGACTAGATTAAGGGGATAGAATAATGGATTCAATGAGGGGTTAGAATAAGGGGTTGTATTAAGGAGTTAGAATAAGGGATTACATTAAGGGCATAGAATAAGGGATAAAATAAGGAATAGAGTAAGGGGTTAGATTAAGAGGTTAGATTAAGGAGTTAGAATAAGGGATTAGATTAAGGAGACAGGGATTAGATTAAGGGGATAGAATAAGGGATAAATTAAGGAATAGAGTAAGGGGTTAGATTAAGGGGTTAGAATAAGGGATTAGATTAAGGGATTAGATTAGGGGGTTAGAAGAAGGGGTTAGAATAAAGAGATAGAATAAAGGAATGGATATAGATTGAGGACTTAGATTAGGGGTTAGAATAAGCGGTTGCAATAAGGCGACAGATGTAGACTAGTGAGTGGTTTTGTGATTAGCTTTCGGACAGCTATAGAAGTTTTTTGAAGTCTTGGAAACCTTCACTGCGTTTCCGAGATCTTGAGGTTTTTTGGTTGGTTTGAGGGTTTCCGAGAGCTCGGAAACCCTTTCCCGGAAACCTATAAAGGGTTTCACATAGTGACAAACCCGGAAACCTTCTATAGGTTTCCGAGAAAACGGATTTTTTTTTGGAGTGTAGTCCGACATCCGTGAGAAGTGTTACTATTCATAAATTCAACATTGTCGATATTCGACTGTATATCTACCATCATTTCTCGGAAGCAGAAGATATAAAATTGAATTTTGTATATGTTATGTACTTTTTGATTCTCTGGCAAATGGTAAAAAGACCATCGCAAAAATAGTGCATCTTTGAGGCGACATAAGGCTGACAAGCCTTCTGCTCATTTCAATTTTTGATGCTTTTTTTAAAGAAATAAAACTTTTTTGATGGTTTTCATTGACAGAACACTACTGTAAGTAAAAACAATTATGATGCTCCAAATGAGCACAGAAATTACATTGAATCGAATAAATTCTAAGAAATTCTACTTTCCATGAAAGCAAGCTATTAGCGTGATTCCTGTCGGATTAGAATGTTGAACACAATACACCCACTGTTGCCAATTCCCTGAAATCTTGTTTTTGTGTACTCAAAAAGTGAGTACACTCTAGAATCGGTCAGTGTGTCCGTCCGGCCGTTTACACGATAACTTTTGAAAGGAGAGTCAGATCGCGATGAAATTTTCTACATAGTTTAGTCTTAACAATATCTCGGTCGAGTTCGAAAATGAGAATGATTGGCCGAGCTATTCCTGAGTTATTGCAAAAATAGTCATTTTCTCCTATGCCTTCCTATGCGAAAATAGACGCCTTCCCGCTTTCGTGAACAACTTTTCCTATTATAGTCAAATAAAACTCCAACTATTATATACTATTCGATAGAGAATTTCCCGAGCTACAAAATGGCATATAAAACATAAAGAAACAAGGAGACTAACTCGCCTAACGCAACGATAATTAAACGGAAATTGGTTCTGTTTTTGTCCACGCTCTGATTGATCCCCAATTCGAGCTCTATCTTTCGATCACAGAGATGGTACTTCGAGCTTTTCTGGGGCGGAGAACTCGAATCTGTACTTCACTTGCCTTGAAATACCATTGGTTGAGCAGGGACCAATAGAAATCAAGTTATAGGAAAAACGACTTTCTTAGGGTAAGTCAAGACGAAGAGTTCAAATCTGAGCTGTATTCGGCCCTAAATCCTATTGGTTGAGCAGTAGCCAATAGAATTTATGTGTTTATAGAAAAGGTTGCGAGGATAATTTTGATGTCCACACATTCTAGGATGACTCATCTGTCTAATTTACTTTTTGAAGTACACATAACTCTCGGATTTAAATCTGAGGTTTCCACATTTATTTTATGTATGTTGGAGCAGATTTCGTCATCATTCGGTATGTCACAGCATAAAATTTCATCAATGAAATATTATCTCTCTCTCTACATATACACTTCATTTATATGTCAGTTATACAAAACCTATAATAGATCCTTAACGCTGTGCGTTACTGTTTGTGATGGCCTCTGGAGTCCGTCTGTCATGATCCGAGATAGCCTCGGGAGCTTGTGTGTCACAACCTACGATGGGTTCGCATCCTATCTGCCACGGTTACAGACTTGTAGGATAAGATTTTTTCAGAAGCCATAATCTGTCCTATTAAAAATTTTCGTCATGTAACCCTGCCTTACGCTGTTACTTGTTGTCACAACCGGTAACCTCCCCTGCCCTGCGAAAAATTTCTTGGTTATTTAAACGAATGATTATTTACCAAAAAGTTGAGCTGTCCTGTAGTCAGTACAAACGGAGATTAACTATGTAGAAGAAAATAAGATACTATTAACCCATTCGCAGAGAAGTAGCCCACAGATGGACCACACCAGAGTATCCAGAAGCTTATTTATCACAGGAAAAATTGAATATCTTCACTATACTTTCACCAAATGAGTTGATTTGTTTTAGCACTGATAACGGGATGTTCATAGTTCCTATTCATAAGAAAAACGTTGATAAAAATTGCTTGAGGATGTGGGTGTGGGTGTTTGTGTGAGCTTCAGTTTGCCACAGCCACAGCCGCATCCATACCCTATTTTATGATATATTGTCTAGAAACATTCTTTGTCTTGCTGAAGCATAATATTAATAAACATTTATGGTACGATTCCTAATTATTGTTTTGATTATTAGTTGATAGTGCTCAGAAGGCCGTATTAGCTAGATTTACTTTAGTACATCCAAATGAGCGAAAAATGTACGTTTGGCGGTTTAAGACTACGACTTTTCAAACATACATAACAAAAACAAAAGTCCAGATTTTCACACGTCTTTTGTATACTATGATGCTCGTTTGTTTTCTCATGAGCACTCTCCTAAATAGTACAAAAGAACCACATCTTTTCAGGTGTTTGATGGAAGAAACAATTCAGTCTTTTTAGAGAGTTTTTGACAGAATTATCTTTAGCATTCTTCATAGGTGTCTGGGATTAAAAAACATCGCGATTATAATATCATCATTTTAACGTACAAAGTGCTTTCAACGGATTTCAAGAAGCAATTTTATAGAAGTACCTTTCATTTTTGAATTAATACCCGTAGAACAGCATACTACGAACATGGGGTATGCCTGCAGTAGGATACCCAATAGCAAAGTTGCCCCCGTTTCGGAAAGCGATTTGGTTGCACAGATGTTTCCAGCAGTTGCTGTCACGGAACCGATGCAACCTCAAGTGCCAATCGAGAGAAACGATGAAGACATCACTCTTGTCTGGCTTGGTGAATATCCGCAAGGAATGACTCTAGCATCTATGAGAATTATTCTTCGTGGAGTTAACAACTACATAAAAGTTTTCGATGAAAACTCTACGTGTTTATCATATCTCACTACCGTTGACAAGGAACAAATTTTTATCATCTTTAGTGGCTCAGCAATTAATGAGAACATGGTGTCAAAGGTTAATGACATGCACTCTGTCGACTCAATCTTTCTGCTCGATTCAAACGGAAACGCACAGACAGAAAACTTGTACGCCAATCTGAAGCATGACTATAACAAAGTCGCCTTTTTCGCGACGTTTGATGAGATGTGCGCCAGCATCACGCAAAGTATTAAGCAGCTAGTCAAACAATCGGTCGGTTTTAGTTTGTTCGATGAAAGGGAAAGATCTACCATGGACCTAACTCGCGATGCCGCAACCTTCTTATGGTTTCAAATGTTGTTTAACGTTCTGAAACGTCAGTTTCAGAACGAACGTTTACGACGAGAGATGATTACAGCATGTCGACGACGTTATAACGGTAATCACAATGAACTTGCTAATATTGACCGCTATCATAGAGACGACAACAAGACCTTAAACGCCATTCGCTGGTATACTGAAGAATGCTTTCTTTATCGGTTAGTGAACAAAGCGTTACGCACCGAAGATATCGATTCCTTGTGTATATTTTCTCCGTTTATCGTTGATCTCTGCGACCAGCTTACACAAGAGCACGAAAATAGAGTACAATCACATACAGATTCAAGCAACTCGATTATTGAACTGTATCGTGGTCAACAGATGTCACACAGCGAAGTGGAAAAGTTGAGGATGAATAAAGGAAAATTGATCTCGACGAATGGATTTTTTTCTACTACGACCGATATGGAAATCGCAATAGGCTTTGCCAAACAACGGCCAGCCGCTCGCGCCGACATCATCGCGGTGATATTCGAAATAAAAGCGAAGACTGATTTGAAAACAGTTATTTTTGCTGATATTCGTCACTTGAGTGCCATGGGTCCAACAGAAAAGGAAGTTTTATTCAGTATCGGTGCCGTTTTTCGGATAGATGAAGTGACACACGACAAGACTCGTAACATATGGACTGTGGCCATGACAGCAACAGACGAGGGATATGAAAATGTTCTTCCCTACATTGAGGCCACCGCACAAAATGGGGAGGAGCAAAGCTATAATGTCCTCTTTGGGCGCTTATTAAACGATATGGGACGCTACCAACAAGCGGATCATTACTGTCGCTCATTACTTCAAACAATGGTAACTAATCATCCTGATATAGCTGGTATTTATCACAATCTCGGCTGTGCACAAGGTAACAAAGGTGAACTTAACGAAGCAGCTGCTTCGTTCACTCAAGCTCTTGATATACGTAAAGCTGTTGATATGAACCAACCAGACGTTGCACGTACTCTGAATAGTCTTGGTATTGTACATGGCGAAAAAGGCGAATACACAAAGGCAATGAATAAGTTTAAACAAGCTCTTGAGATACAGTATACACGTAATTCACCTCAAAATGAGGAAAACACTCTCGCTCAGAAAAACCTCTTACTCAACATGGCAATGAGCCATAGTAATATTGGCTGGGTCCATTGTCTTCGTGGTGAATATGATAAGGCGCGCGAAGCACATGGTGAAGCGCTCAAGATCCGAAAGAGTTTGTTGAACGTCGAAGATCATCCACTTTTTGCCGATTACCACAGCTCGATGGGTGGAATCGCTCATGCGAAAGGCTTGTATGATGAGGCTCGTACAGAGTATACCAAAGCTCTTCATATGCGTCAGAAAGTTATTCCACCAGCTCATCCTTCTATTGCAAATAGCTATCAGTCACTAGGAGAAATTGAGCATGACAACGGAAAGTATGAAAAGGCACTAGAGTATTATGAAAAGGCGCACCAAATGCGTAAAGAGACACTCGGAGTGGATCATGTATCCATGGCATCCATCTACAAGTCGATTGGTAGTGTTCATCTCGATAATGGTGCGTATGATAAAGCGCTTGATTTCTATGAACGTGCTCTTGTTATCTGTCAAAAAACCCTGTCTGCCGGTCATCCTGCTGTTGGCAACTGCTACCACCTCATAGGAACTGTGCGTGAGCGTCAATTTGACTATGAAAAAGCTATAGAATGTTACATAAAAGCTCATTTTATCATAGTACAACGCCTTCCGCGAGATCATCCTATGGAGGCTAAAATTTTCAGTTCCGTTGCAAGTGTCAAAATGCGCCAGCAACAATACGAACACGCTCTCGCTCTCTATAAGAGTGTGCTTAATATTCAAAAACGCTGTTTTAGTCAAATAGGACATCATCCTGACATTGTGCTGACACTTAACAACTTTGGGGTGCTTTTTCGATGTCAAAAAGATCACAAACAGGCTGAACAATATTTCAGACAGGCGCTACAAATGTGTGAGAAATGTTTTCCAGAGATCCATCCTGCCCGAGCTCGAACTCTGCATAATATGGGGGAGATGTATCTTGATTTGAAACAATTCGATTCTGCTTTGGAGAATTTCGAAAAAGCAATTAGTATTCGACTAGATACTCTACCCGATGATGACTTAAGTACGGCCGATACTTATTACAAAGCCGGATACGCATGCTTCCAGAAAGCCGACTATGCTGAAGCGCTTAACTATTTCACGAGAAGTCAAGGAATTTACGAATCCAAGCATTCCGCTGACCATACTGATGTAAAACGCACACAAAGAAGCATTGCAATCGCTCAAGAAGCCGTAGGGATGCGTCGCGGATCTATTACAACAGCTATCTGATTAGCTTGCCAATGCAACAAGTATCTTTGTCACACAACTGACATGTGAAATAAGTTTTTCAGCCGAAATACCAGTTTTTTCTCTTTTATCATAACAACTACACGAACGCAGCTTTGACTGACTCTCTGGAACATATTTAATCATGTGAAAAAATTAATGTGATAAAAAACAATTTTTCGCTTCTGAATCCTAAAGTATTTTGTCGCTGACTGTGATGATTGACGAGAACTGTCGCAATTTCAATTCAATTAAACAGCTCATCAGGTGGTGATGGTACGCAAGGTTGTCGGTACAGGTGGCGGGTGTGGATGTGGGTGTGGGGTGTGGGTGTGGGTGTGGGTATGCGGTTACTATTGAAATGACCATCCACACCCACACCCACACCCATCCACACCCACCCACACCCCACACCCACACCCACACCCACACCCGTAATTTTAATTATGTATAAATATAACTAGAAGAAAAACTGTTGATGTATGCATTTTTAGTGCATTCCTTTTTTGAGCCAAATGTAAAAATCAATCCCGTATGATATGGAGGGTGTGTGGGGTGTGGGTGTGGGTGTGGGTGGATGTGGGGTGTTGGTATGTGGGTGTGGGGTGTGGGTGTGGGGTGTTGGTATGTGGGTGTGGGGTGTGGGTGTGGGGGGGGGGGGGGGGGGGGGGGGGGGGGGGGGG